TACATACATACATACATACATACATACATACATACATACATACATACATATATACATACATACATACATACCAGAAGCGTTCCAAACTCAAAATATTTTGAGTTCAGGATAATTTCGTGCTTGCTGCAGTTTTGGAATCCTTCCTGTAAGATTAGAACATCGCGTTTTGAATTTATAACACTTTGCACAGCCTCTCTTTAGCAGCCTACATAGGAGAATAAAAATATTAAGAAGAATGTTTTATTTCAATTGTTCCTCTTTTCTTTTTCTTTTTTTTTAAAGGAAACTCTGATACTAATTCAGCCAGTATTTCTGGGAATGATTATTGGGTATTTTGAAAAGATTGGCTCTACGCATGCTGACGAAAATGCTTTGGCCTACGCCTATGTCTCTGCTGCAGCCTTATCAGTGTGCACTTTGATTCTGGCCATCACTCATCATCTGTATTTTTATCATGTACAACGTGCTGGCATGAAGCTGAGGGTAGCCATGTGCCATATGATTTATCACAAGGTAGGTAATGGGTTTTCTTTATCTCAATAAACAGGGACCCCAAGCATAGGTGAGTGATTGTCCGGCATTGTGGGTGAAGCAAACAAGTGTTTCTAGAATCATGAGCTTAGCAGGCCGATGTAATATGTGGGTCTCCGTGAAAAGAATGCTAAGATTACATCAGTGTGTCCTATGTAAATTCCGTTCTGGGTGGGCAGGCCAAGGGCTGAAATCTCCAGAAAAAGCAGCAGGCTAGAAAGACGTTGGCTGCTGTTATGAATGGCTAGTTCTTATGACTTTTAATGCAAAAAATTTACCATACTAGTGAAAAATTAGGAGGAATGAAGGGGGTTAGGTAAGACTTCTTTCTAACACTGTTGTCCAGTTTTAGGCTTCCTTCTACTTCTGCTATTGTTGTGGTCAAGAATTATCTCAAAAATCTTCAAGGTATGCTACATTGATCTATGTCCATTTACAATAAGGAAGGGTGTGATGATGTAATTCAGCCATCCCGTAACTAACTTTTCTGTCTCTGCCTTCTGTCCACGATGCCTTTCTAGGTTACCAACCCAGGTAGTCCTCGACGTCTGACTTTCATTGAGCCCAAAATCTCTGTTGCTAAGCGAGACAATTGTTAAGTGAATTTTGAAAGGTTTTGCAACCTTTCTTGCCAGAGTTGTGAATCAAATCACAGCAGTTGTTAACGTTAGTGACACGGTAGTTACGGGAATTTGGCTTCCCCATTTGACTTTGCTTGTCTGAAGGTCACAAAAGGTGATCACATGACCCTGGGATAGTGCGGCCATCTTAAATATGACAAATGTCTGCATTTTGATCACCTGACCAAGAGGATGCGGCGACAGTTGTAAGTGTGAAAAATGGTCATAAGTCACTTTTTGACAGGGCCGTTGTTATTTTTGAACAATCACTAAACAAACTGTTGTGAGACAGTCACTAAACAACTGTTGTAAGTTGAAGACTGCCTGTATTGGGATGCTTTTAAAGATTGCAGGATTTGTACATTGAGGGGCCCTATTTTTATATATTTTTCTTCCGTGGGAGATCGGTTCATCTGTTCTACTTTAAAAAGCATTCGGTATTGTATGTGTCTAGAAGGGAATACTTTATCTAAACCTACTGTTAGTGTTGTGGCCTGTCAGCTGCCAGTGGAGCTGGCAGCAAACTCGGATGCGGAGGAGGTTGGGGAAGAACTTGGGTCAGTTCTGGAGTTTGGAGAAGGCTCTGATGGATGTTGTGTCGGAAGCAGAGATAAGTTGGGAGGAAGAACAGCTGGGGCCTGTTCCAGATGCGTATATGCGCAGAGCTGTTAGGAGAGGAGAACAACTGAGGACAAGGAGTCGACTTGGGAATAAAAGCACATGTGGACACTGAGTGACCCCTCCATGGCTGGGGAATAAATATAAGGAAAGGAGAGTGGTGGTTGTAGAAGACAACTGTTCAGATTTCAGAAGATTTGGCTCATCGTGTTTCGTGCCTCAGAGACTGCTTGCCAGAACTTAATTTGGAGCTTTGTGGTTGGAAGCTCCCAGCCTGGCAATTATCTCAAGGAACTGATAAGGTCTGCTACTGCAGTTAACTCCTTGAAGGACTATTGCCTGGACTTTTCGGTGTGTCAATGCCATTAATTCACAGGAGATAAATAACGAGGGGGTTTTCGGGACAAGGAGTCTGCTAAGGCTGGGTCAGAACAGTTATTTACTTATGCACTTTAGAAATATCTCATATTTTAAACTAGCTCTTCTATTCTATTTGTGATGGAACTGCTGCATTTTGTGGAACCTTATAGAAGTTGCTTTGTAGCTTATAGCTTAGATATATATTTACCTAGTGCAGGAGGACTTGCACTAATTCACACCATTATCACTCATTTAGACTACTGCACTGAATGCCAAGTTGGCGCTCTTTGAAGATTACATGAAAAATGCAATTGGCTGAGAACAGGTTGGCCACTGCACTCATTGTCACATGTTACTTGGATCCAACCTTGTTGGCTTTCAAAAGATATTAAAAACGGAACTCCTGTATTTAATATTTACTTTTAATCAATCTCAGGCATTTCTTTATCTTTTTTTTTAAATTCAGTTTTACTTTGAAGTGTTTTACTGCAGTTTTATCTTACTGGTTTGAGCTTTTATGATTTTATTTTGGTACTATTTTTAATTACACCCTGAAAGTTGTAATATTTTGCTATATTATATATCATGTAAGCCAGGGGGTCCCAACCCCCCCAGGCTGTGGCCCACTACCGGGCCTCAGCCTGTTTGAAACTGGGCCACTTTCACACAAGTGGAGCTTTGCGTGTGAGCACAAATGCCTGCCGTTTATGTGAGTGGAGCTTCGTGCATTGGTGCAAGCACCCTCTGCTTCCGTGCAAAGCTCCATTTGTGCGAGTAGAGGGCACGCGCCCCCTTTCACAAATATAGCTGTGCATGTGCACGTTCGCCTGTCACTCACATGCCCCCCTCTCCTCCCATGCCGGGCTGGGCTATTAGGTTCGAAAGGTTGTGGACCGTTGCTTTAAAGTGGCAATATTTAGTGTGACCTCCCATTACACTTGAGCAATAGCAAATACCTGTCTCCCATAAACCTAAATGGGTGGGACCCTAAGTACTGTCATTGCTAATTCCTGTATGTATCCTGCTATTTTATGCAAAAATGACTGCTATGCCAAAAGGTCTATAATACCAGGTTTGTGCAAGACATGGTTGAGCATCTCATACAGTGCAATCACATGTTTTATAAGTGTAATGCACTGGAAACTTGCTAACGGGAGCCACTTCCATTCACATCATTCCAGTCAAAATGCCAAAGATGACGGAATTTGACAGATATAAAATCAGGTTTTTTGCATCAGCAAGGCCACTCTCAAAGGGCAATCAACCAACAAACTGGATACTGAAGATGTAATACTTAAGACTGAAAAAGACTGCCCAGTACTGACTGTCTTTGCTATTATGCCTTTGCAGAAAAGCTACGTTTGTTTTTCAACCTGCACTCTTCCTTCTGATACCTCCTAGGATCTCTGTTGTCATTAGGTAGGATGCTTTCTTACGCATAAAGTCATCTCTGGGGAATTAATTTGCTACACTGAATAATATTCTACAGAGAGTTTTGGGAGTCAGGAAACAAGCTTTTCAACCAATACTTCATCTAAAAACAAGAAATGGAGAAAAGCTCATTGGTTTGTGTTAGGCTCCTGTCTCCTTATTTTAGGGTTCTAATGCCTTTCCCATTTTACCCCTCAATATTCCAGAAGTCATTGAAATCACTAACCCCTTTTCAGTTCTGGAAAATTACATTGGATCCTCGATTTAGTGAATCTTAGTGCAATCAATTTTGCATGAAATAGATGGTATTCTCACTCTATTTATGCTACCATGATATAATTATATAATTTATGTAATTTATGTAATGTTGCTGCATAATTAAACAGTGGTCAAGAACAAAGTGTGTGCTTCCTCCAACTGGTTTGTTAAAACTGAAATGAAAGTTTCGTGATCTTCGCAAAACCTCAGGTAGTCAGCATATTTTCTTCTACTTTTAAGTGACAAAGGCTTAAAAAGCAATGGAGCACATTAGTGTATTTTTCTGAGTATAAGATGCACCTTTTTCCATCAAAAAAGAGGGTGAAAATCTGGGGCGTCTTATAGTATTTTTGGCATCCCGAAACCCTGCCCCCTTCACCAAAATGGCCGTGCAGAGCCTTTAGGAGGCTTTTAGAATGCTCCTGGGTGCTGGGGAGGGCAGAAATGAGCCAAAAATGGGCCATTTTTTGCTTGATTTTGCCCCCCAGTCCTCAGGAGTATTCTATAAGCCTCCAAAAAGCTATGCATGCCCCTTTTATTGGACAAAAATGGAGCCATATTTGTGAAAAATAGGCCATTTTTTGCTCATTTTTGCTCACGCTGGCCAGCTGACTTCAGCCTTTTTTTTAGGCCATTTTTCGCCCTTCCCATGCTCCAGAGGCTTTATAGGAGCCTGGGGAGGGCAAAAACAGCCTCTGCCACAGAGGCCCTCCAGAGGCTTCAGGAGATTCACTGAAGTCTCCGGAGTACAAAAAACCGCCCCTACGGGCAAACCGGAAATTCAGGAATGGATTTCCAGCTTGCTCATAGGGCTGGTTTAAGCCCTCCGGAGCCTTCTGGAGGCTAAAAACAGCCCTACAGACAAACCAGTTTGCTTGTAGGGTCATTTTTCATCCTCCGGAGCCTTCAGGGAAGCTTCCTGAAGGTCCCTGAATGCTCCGGAGGACTAAAACTGGCCCTAGGAGCAAACCGGAAGTCCATTCCCAAACTTCTGGTTTGCCCATAGGGCTGCTTTTTTATGCTCTCGAGGCTTCAGGGAAGCTCCTGAAGCCTCTGGAGGGCCTTGTGGGGGGGGGAGGCTGTTTTTGCCTTCCCCAGGCTCCTATAAAGCCTCTGGAGCGCGCATGTGCGCTGGGGTCACGCATTGCATTATGGGCATAGCAAACCCGTGCATGACCCCCCCTGCGCTCTCCCCGCTTTTGGCACACAAGCCAAAAATGGTTCGCCACCACTGCCTTATTCCATTTCGCTTCCATAATCAGCGAGATGTTGAAGAAAGCAACGCTTATTCGGGTGATGTTTTGTCTAAAAGGTGATCATTGGAGCCCATGGAGTTTTGTAATATTTTCGTTTATATAAAATACATATAACTTGAGTATATTGGAGGCAGTAAACTAGCAATTTCATGTATACAGATCTCCAGAGAAGACCCCCCCATCCAAAGTGTGTGAGCTTTCACGCCCTGAAACTGTTCTCTTGTCTCTTTGTTTTTTTGTAAAACATTGTTATTTGTAGTTTTGAGCCATTTTACACCTGGATCAGCTCATTCTGGCTAAAAAGAACAGAAGACACTTAAAGTGTTCATTCAGAAGATTTATAGAAGACTTCCCATAGAAATGGGGAAATATTAATACCAAATCTTGTCCTAGACTTTGGTCTTCTGTTGCTTTATCTTCAGATTTATTGACGTACAAA